TGCACAGGGCGCTGCCTCTGGCACGCCACTAGGGATAGGTCTTAGTCATGCGAGCCATGCGGGTACACCATGTGGTAATTCGACTCGTCGAGCCACAGGAAGTGAGTTATTCCCGCAGCAGGTGCTTCCTCCGGTTGTGCCACCATTGCCATTGCACCTTGTCCGACGAGGTGCCCAACACTCAATGCCATCATATTATCACCACAAAAGTTCACGTAGGTCGGTTGACTCTTCGAGCTCAGGGTCATCATCCGACAATTCCTCCATATCACCTGTAAATTTCGCGAGACGGGAAGCCATGACCGTTATGATCACGTCCCTGACTGACCTGGTTTTTCCCCACCCTCCTGTTAATGCAGGTGAAGCTCGAGGTTACATGAACCAGGTGTTAATGGCCATAGGCAAACTTCAAAAGACCCCTGGTAATGAACTTTACTTGTGGGCCCAGGAGTGCCTAACCTTAACAGAGGAAGAGCTCCAAGCCGACCCTCGCTACCCTCGCACTGACCGCGAAGTAGCATCCAAGCTCTTAGGAACTTGCAAAGGCGGAAAGTTTGGACTCCTCTTCAATCAGATGTTAGAATCTGAGCGCGCTGCTAGTGGGGCTATGCCCTGCGGGCGCGCGATGTTGCGTAGAATATTTAAATATTTCCAGCTAGAGCGTGACCGCCTGGGCATGCTTGGCGAAAGAAATTTGTTGTCCCTTAAGGTCCCCGGTAACACTATAGCCGATCTAGTTACCTTTAGAGACACCTATACCTACGTAATGTCAACAATTCCCGTAGTGGATTTGCCGCGACCGCAAACGCTGTTTAACCATCTTATCGACGAACTTGAGCATCATGCTGTAATGGCCCCAAAGGTCGTTAAAGCTACGGAAGCCCGACTAGATAGCCATCGTCGCACAACTGACTGGTTATGGTCTAAAGTTGAACTAGCCATCCAACTGGAACAGCAAGAGCGCAATCGCCGAGATTTTGATGAACAGCTAGGTCTAAAACCAGCGGCAGGGTACTTCGGTACCAATCCACCTCCCGATGACAACATCGCTGGTGCCTCGGCACCAACCCCAGACCCAGAATCGGAGAACACTCCTGAATCTCCAACAAGTCAGGGTTCAGGGGGGGGTGAGACCGAAGAGGATATGCAGGCAGCCCCTACCCAAGCGGCTAGACCCGTAGGATTAAAGCAGCCTCCATCCACTGATGTGGATAGCACGAACCCTAAGGGGAAGAGGACCAAGAGAGCAGCCCGTAAATCGGCAGCCGAGAAGGCCACCACCCCTTGCATGTTCTTCGCGTACAATGCATGTAGGGCAGAATCGTGCGCATTCCTCCACTCTGAAACCAATAAATATCGAGGACCTCCTCCTAGATCACTTAGGAAAGGTAATAAAGCCCCTCCTAATGTTCATGCTAGCGTAGCAACTGTGATAGTCCCAGAGATCGCTGTCTCTGACGCGATTAAACCTGTAATCACTGCCATGCCTTTCGAAGCTTCCACAGCCATCCCTTGGCTGTGGGACACTGCAGCAGGTCGACACCTCATTGGACGCCAAGCCCTCACACCATCCATGCGGGAGAGTGTACAGCACTCTCCAAATCCCGTAGCTTTCGCTACCGGAGGTGGCAGCCAATCCGGCAAAGGATCCCTGACATTTAGTGGCAGTAAGATTCTTGATGGTGAAGAGGTCTATGTTCTAGAGGAATGCCCTCCAGCACAAAGTATAGGTAAAGCAGTCATAGATAAAGGTTACATGTTCATCTGGGATCCACGGGAGAGCGTCCCATATCTAATAGCTCCCGAAAACGTCAATAGATGCAGGCTAAAAGTTCCCAGGAACGCTAAAATCTGCGCATCTAGGGTGGTAGAATACGTCCCACAATATGATGAAGAACTGACTCCATGTTCATTTGATCCAAATGAGCGCCCTGCTCCGGTACCAAGCGCAATGCCAGCTTCATCCGTAGGACCCAAGACACTTGTAGAAGTAGATGATCCCAATGACTATGGTGTTTCGTCAACCCCTACATATAATGTCTTTCCACCCGCAAAAGATGAAGAAGCAGATCTAGCACCTGAATCTGTTGATGACGCTGTTGGTTTGGCTAACACGTCGGGATCTAAAATGGTCGTTGTCGATGTTTCCAACGTACCCAATAACACAATGGATGACCAGCTCCTAATTGAGCTGGGGAGCGGCGAGCCGCCAAAGGATAAAATCTTGAAGCAGCGAGCCACCAATCCAAGCCATACGCGATTAAACTTATCAAATAGCCAGTTTTACCCCATTAGCCATATAACTAAAGATAACGCTATGAAGCTTTCACATTCCAATGATGGCAAGGCCGATGGTTTTGATGATTCTTCAGAGCAGCAGCATGAGCAGCTCTCATCAAGTAGCGTTGTCCTAGATAAAGGCACCCAAAGTTTGAGGTAATAACAGGAAAAGTTGAATCGTATGGAAGTAAAAGCGTAGCAGCCAATGTGCACAACCCAGCGCGCCTGGTGCACGAAGGCGATCTCGTCTTCCCGGTAGGTATGTTATGTGGTCATGCCCTCTTCAGGGGGGGTAACCCGCATGACTTGAAATCCCCTAATAATACTGAGGATGACGTTCTCTGTCATAAAGATGGGGGTAATAATGACCCTTCAACACCTGATCTTAGGAGATGTCCCATAAACACACTCTTAGATCATGTCCTCGCCACTGAGGATACGCCTGGGTGTGCTACCTGCAACACCCATACACGGCATCCTGCCGACCAACGCTGCGCCCACTTCACAAATAGTAATACGGTTGAAGAAAAGAAACGACACCAAAAAGGGAAAGAAAGTACCACTTAACGCAAGCACATAAAGAGTCAAAAGTGACGAGGATGCTGAGCTCCATGCTCGCATCAGGGTAGGTGAAGAAATCTCTAGCCCAATACCTTTTCACTCTTCCTTGAAATCCGCGGCTTCATGGGAATAGTGATAAAATGTTCCGGAGTTAGAGCTTCCCAATCCTGGTTTCCCGTCACCCCCAATAGCCAGCGTTTTAAGTGCCATAATTCAATCCCAAGTTGTTCATCAGCCTCAATCCTTTGTCAGGAATCGCTTCCAGGGTCTAACCAACCAACTGGTCGCGCTAACCGTAGACACCGGAAAATTGCCAAGATCGCACTTAGTGCGAATGCTAAACCAACCACATCCAAGTTTGCCTCTTCCCCTGACATCTAGAAGTTGTCGATAGGTGAACATAATGGCATTCCATGTGATAAACTTAGTAGGGATAACACAGAGTTAGGTAATGAGTCGCAGTGCGGACTGCTGGGTAATCACACAGCTGAACCCGCTGAAACCGCGCCACCACGTGTGTGGACCTCATCCTCCTGCTCACATACATTCCCTTGGCAGCGCCCAAAACATAATGTTGGTCTTAGGTCAAGGGCATCCGCCCAACTTAAGAAACCTTCTCAAGACACAATATCCACCTCCATCACCAATGATGGACCGAAATGGATGTGTCACACACGCATCGCTAAACCATAAACCAACGCATAGATTGCTGCGAGCGCCCGCTTGCGCAATATTAGTGCGTAGGTGCCTGCCAAAAGCGCAGAGCGTGGATCAGGCGAGGGGGGAGTTGAAATATATCGACCCCTGAGCCCCCACTACATGTAGCATAGCAGGTAGGTATAGCGTAGTGTAAATAGCGTAGCTATGAGTTCCAATTCAATCCAATTCATTATACTCAATGTACAGTATAACACTACTTACCTAGAAGCGTTAGGTAAGTAGAGTAGCCGTAATTAGACATAGGTACTTCCCTCACCCTAACAACCAGCTGGGTCAGGGTTTACTTAGTACGCTATGGATGTTATGGCTCAAGTGCCCAAAAAGGTCGGGTGCTTGGTTTGTTTAATGGGGTTATCGAAGGATACCGTGGTTGGTTCCCTTGTTCGGTCCCCTGTTTTCACTTTCTGAGCCCCTTTTTTGGAAATCCCTAGTAAAACTAGGAAATCAACTGAGATGAATTCTATAGGTACCCTCTGGTGAACTAACATAGCAATGGAAAATGGCCATAGAAATAGTGGATTTTCCCATGAAAAATGGTGGATCTTTCCATTGCTATGTTAGTTCACCAGAGGGTACCCATTTAAACTCAAAAACACATACAAAAACATCCCGGCGCCTGGTTTACCGCGCGTGTGTTTTGGCATTTTCTTAAGAGTCTTTATGATGACCTTCATGTTTATCTCTTGGTATTTGCAGGACTTTTGAAGCAATCATCATCATGTTTGGTCAGAAAATGTGGCTAATTCCATTGTGTTTTATTTTTTCATCATTTTTCACTTGTATTTGCACGCTTTTGTGAACGCCAGGAGTAGAAAGAGGCTGTTTCAGGATGCCTTGTTTTTTGATGGATTTGCGTTTCGCCACAGGGAGAGAACAAAAAAATCGGACTTTTCGGTTTTTTTCTGGCGCAGCACTTTCACTGCATGTTCCCTCGAAGAGTCTCGGCTGTCAAACGGCTCAGATTGGCACAGGCACTGTTTTCCCAGCGCCATTGCCATTGGTATGTGTGCAAGTGCACGAGACGAGGTCGGTAGCATAGCATCAGGTATGTGTGCAAGTGCAAGAGACGAGGTCGCTAGCGTAGCATCAAGTATGTGTGCTAGTGCCATTGAACGTTATTAGCCCACCCCACCCCACCCCACACAAACCCATCTGTAGCGTAGCATCAGGTATGTGTGCAAGTGCAAGAGACGAGGTCGGTAGCGTAGCATCAGGTATGTGTGCAAGTGCACGAGACGAGGTCGGTAGCGTAGCATCAGGTATGTGTGCAAGTGCAAGAGAAGAGGCCGGTAGCGTAGCATCAAGTATGTGTGCTAGTGCCATTGAACGTTATTAGCCCACCCCACCCCAACCCACCCCACCCCATCGGCCAAAAAAAACACAAAAACGCACGTACGGTAAACCAGCCGCCAGCAAAAACATGCCCAATGACCCCCCAGGCAGCAGATGTCCGTGGTAGACTTGAGCCCGGATGAGATCAGTGGCCATGGCCGAGTTTTGGATGGGGGATGGGTTGCATCTTTCAGCCACGAAACTGGAGATTAAACCCAATGATGAGGGAAACATGTTGTTCAAAGTTGCAAAAATAGGGAGAGTTTACCCGGTTTACCCTGGGGGTTGTTGAGTTATACCATGTTGTACCCATATATCATCCACAAGAACTGAGATGATGTGCCTGCAAAGTACTCCAAGTTTGTCAGAAGTTGCTGGAGTAATGCATCCACCATAGATATCCATAGATCAACATTTTCTACGAATATCCACTTTTTTAGATATCCACAGATTGTATGTTCAGACATGTCCTTCAGAAAGACGTCCTCCCGATTTTTTTTCGACGCCCCAGGTTTCAATGTGGCGGTCAGTTCCGTGCGCAGGGTCTGTATTGATTTGATGTGATCCTTCATGGTCTGGTTGGTGGTTTCAAACATTGGTTTGTTGTATGGGGTTTGATGGTGAAAATCATGTTTAATGATGGTTAATGATGGTTAATAGTCACTGGTGGTTTGGAACATGAATTGTATTTTCCATTAAAAAATATATATGGAATAATCATTCTCATTGACGAGCATATTTTTCAAGATGGTTAAAACCACCAACCAGTGATCCAATTGCGGCACCAGGCCAATCACCTAGCTACCAACCATTCGCTGACCAGCAAATTTGAGTCTCCAACCAGTTGGGTAGCAGTTGTATCCCAGTTTTTGTTGGCACCGGAAAAAAAACAGTTGCTGACCAGAAAGCCACGAAACCGTGAATCTACAATAATTTGAAGCCCTTAGAACTGGGAGACACTGGAAATCACTGGAAGACGGTCCTCTTTCATTGACAGAATCCACATGAATCCACCACCAGTTGGGATCATACAAAAGAGTTGCAGAGCTGAAGTCTTGTGCAAGTCTCTTGTACCCCCCTGGCACATTATGAACGGAGTTGACTTATCCAAGCCTAGACTTTCACGCCTGAAGCTTGATGAGATAGGTGGGTTCAGTGTGGGTTCAAACACCATGTCAGGAGGATTCAGGGGAAGTCTAGAGCGAGGTTCCAAGATGGACCTCAATCTCCTGCGATTCTTTTGGCGTAATTTGATCCATGATCATTTTATCGATCCGATCCTTTCCTTTTCAGGATCTCATGTTATTGTGGCCCAATGTGGCCACGCTGAAACGTGCCGGAATGGGCTTGCAGCAGTCCAACAATCTACATCTGCCATTCCGCCGTAATGGCAGATGTAGATTGTGCTGCTTCACTTCAGCCTGTGACGGCACACCCTTCGCCCAAATGCTGCATGGCGCAAGGGCATGACTCATGACTCTTGGGCCCCAAAAAGGGTAAGCAGCAAAGGTCAGCATCATACGACTTCAATTGAATCCTGTGTTTTTCCACATATTTAACATATTTATAGTATACTTGCTTGGCGGTGCCAGCCATGTTATCCTGCAAGGACCCTGTTAAAGAAGTGAGAGCGGGGGTGCAGGGTTGGTTGATGGAGTGTCACATGAACCGCTGAACAAATGGCAGATATTTCGCGGTGAAATCCATCAGTTGCCAGGGTGAATTGACTCTGTGACTTCAGCTGTAGAACACATCAGTTTTTGGGAGTCTTAAAAATGAACATGGTGATCTAAAGATGTTGCGGTGATGATAATCATATGATATTCATGTTATGATTCTGATGTATATATTATGTAATTATATATATATATACTGTGGATGGAAATCCGATCAATCAGCGATTTTGGATGCTTGAAAGCCCATGGTTAAATATTGGGATAAATCAATCATCATTTTAAACCTATCAACTGGTGCAGGATTTCGCAACCATCCACTGTATCATGTTTATTTCCTTGATCCAAAAGCTTCATGGGTGCTTCATCCGAAATCGTTCGAGGCCCAAGCGTGAGAGGAATCAAGTCGCCAGCTCAGCGGCTGTGCCTCACTGGGCTGACCTAAGGAGGTTTCGAAAAAAAACATGTCATCATCATTACAGATAGGTCTACTTTTAAACAACAACATAGTTCATACTGGTGAGTTCTAAGTGTTTTGGACATGTTTTGTTATTTCTTATTGGACATGTTTTTATCTTTTGGAATGTGTTGGACGTTTTTTTGGTAATATGCATGTTTTGATGTTTTTTGTTTTGCTTTTGGATCTGTGTTTGGAACGTTGTGAGTGTATGTTTTTTGTTTTGTTTTGCGTTTGTTTTTGTTTTTTCCGAATAAGGGATCATTTGGGATTTGTTTGGGCGACTTTGAGGTTCCGAGCATGTCGCCTGGTTCTGAATTTTACATTTCCGCACGGGGGAGTCACGTTCAAAACCATTCAAAACCCTTCTGTTTATGTTTTGGGCGTGGCGTAAGCAAACGCGCAAGCCAGAGAAAGCTCCGCATAAGACAAGATATGTCGCGTAAGCAAGCCCTGTGGGTGCGCAAGCAAAATGTAAGCAACGGCGTAAGCATTTCTGTATTTGGTGCCAGGATATACCCTCTGGTAAACGTTTACATAACTATCGAAAATCATCATTTTATAGCTGGGTAAATCCACTATAAATATCTATAAATCACCATTTTCCATGGCTATTTTGACATAACCAGAGGGTAATCACCATTAAATCACCATCATTTACCATTAAATCACCATTAAATCACCATTTTCCATTGCTTTTTGTTTGTTTACCAGGCCGGGTAAGACATTGAAAAGAACACATCTGGTTTCATTGAACCAGTTGGACCAACGACTCATGGGTTGAAGCAAAATCGGGTACCGCCCCGGTTGGTCCACTGGTGAAGATTGAAATCGTTCCATGTTTTTTTTCCTAAATAGCCAGAACAGGTGGTATTTACCTCTGGTTGGTGGTTTGGAACATTTTTTATTTGTCCATAATATATGGGATAATCCTTCCCATTGACTTTCATATTTTTCAAATGGTTAAAACCACCAACCAGATATATGTTCTAAATATTACCCTCTGGTAAACGTTTGCATAACTATGGAAAATCACCATTTTTAATAGGTAAATCAACCATAAATGGGCAATGTTCAATAGCTTTTTGTATGTTTACCAGGCCGGGTATCTGGCCACAACAGGGGAGATTTCCGAACGATGGCATGCCAGGTGTACGAGTTGATGGATGGCATGCACGTGCTCATCAGCCCCTAGGGACGTGATGACGTGATGACGTTGAGAACGGATGAGTTTTGGGGAATCACCGATGATAGGATTTTGGACATACAATAGGATGGATAGGTATAATATAGCAAATACTATATATATAATGTTATATCATTAGTAATTCTAGTTTATAGGTAATCTGTTGCATTCATTATCTGTTGAATGTTACATTTTGTTACTATATGGAACTAATATTAAGTGTTATTGTATGAATTATCTTTTGTTTAGATACTTCTGAAGTGATTCATGGGATAATTACATATAATTGCCACTCAATGACATGTGAATTTCAACATCAATGGTGGGATAGATCAAGGAGGGTCTTGGGTATGTGTCAAGCCTTCAAATGCGCAGAAGGTGTTTGGCTCGTGGGGCAGTATAATTCCCTGCCATGCAAGAATTCTTGGATGTGTTAACCGCCATAATGTTTGGAAGTCTGGGCAAATAACCATTAACATAGCATTGTCTTCCAGTTGCCTGTCAGAAAGGTAACCAAACTCAAAATCATGAGGACATCATCAGATAAAATCACTCTGGTTAGCTATGTCAGAAGTACTTGGAAGGTTCGGGACAATTAACATCACTGGTTGGTGGTTTGGAACATGGCTTTTATATTTCCATGCAGTTGGGAATTCCATCATCCCAACTGACGAAGTCCATCATTTTTCAGAGGGGTGGCTCAACCACCAAGCAGATATTATTATTAACCATCATTAACCACATAATAACCATATAATAACCATATATTAACCATATATTAACCATACATTAACCACAATGGTAGGCTCAGCCACCAACCAGGATCATCTCATGTTTCTTTCCAGTAGCATTTGACCATGTCTCACTGAGGTGATGAGGAAAGCTTTGGCGGACGAAAGGCTCTGGGATGAGAATGAACATGGTCATATGATGTCATCTGCTTAAACTATGTGATATAAACTAGCCACAAAAAAAGGGCTGATCTTGAAGTCAGCATGATTTTATATGATTTTCATGTGGTGATGTAGAGCAACAATCATGGTGATTCAAGTGGTGTATCAGCGAATGTTTGTTCGGACGCCAGCAACCAGATTTCATAAGGATGGAATTTATAGTATGACAAAGGGAGAAAGGCCAAAACTGGTTGGTGGTTTCAAACATTTTTTATTTTCCCCAATAGCTGGGATGATGATCCAATCTGACTTTCATATTTTTCAGGGGGTTGGTCAACCACCAACCAGCCATAATAATCACAATATGTTCTTGCCAGATGATGTATTTTTATATCACCAAGTGAATCAAATGAGATGCGGCTATGGCAAGCTTCAATGGCGTAACGCCATGCGCCCCTAATTTCCGTGAGGTTGACCTGTCATGTGAATCGATGAATCGACTCGACCTCGTGTCATGTTTTTTTTTTTGGGGGGGGTGGAACGGCAAAAACAGAAAAATACGCTATATCCAAGGGTTTTAAGTATCAACTGGTGTTTTTTGGTACACAGAGTTGACATTGCTGGGTTCCATACGTGCCAAATCTCCAGGTTTTTGTTGGGTCCAACACGGTCCAACTATCAGCTCTTTTGTGTTCCAGACTCAAAGCCCAGTGTTGTGAAACACAGTGAAGTTGATACTCTCTGGTAAACGTTTACATAACTATGGAAAATCATCATTTTTAATGGGTACATCAACTATTTCTATGGCCATTTTCCATATATATTTTTTGGATTGTTTACCAGAGGGTATTCAAAAAGTCAATCTGTTGGTTTCAACATGTTTCGACCCCTCCCGCAAATGTACAAATCCTGTAATGTGGTAAACCCGATAATTTAATGGATTGACAATAGATCATCTCCATTACTGGAAGTATTGGATGGTATAAACCATCCCAAATGGTAGGTTATTTATGATTATTTATATATTATTGGCTTTAAGACATTGCCACTAGTGATTCATAAACGCTTTTCACCCGGGATGGCGCAATTGCTGCTGGCGAGGAAGATCCATGAGTTGTGAAGTGATGGAGTAGAATCGAATACCAGCGTACAAGGGTGGATGATATTGTGGAAACGGACAATTGTTGCAGGTCCCTCCAGTAAACAAAGATTCGATATGGAAAACCTCTAGCTTCCGCAGGAAATCATATTCTTTGACCCCAGAACCCAGAACTTGCATAAATATTCTACTGTAAATACATCTAAATATGATGACTGGTTGGTGGTTTGGGACATTTTTTATTGGGATATATTGGGAATGTCATCATCCCAACTGAC